TAATATAATGAGAATGGACGTCGATGTAACATGGCAGCCACGGCGAGTGGACTGGAATGCGCGTGCGTGAACAGTGACGACTTCACTGCCCTAGTCAGTGAGGGTGGTAGACGCTGCTGAGTGAGCATGTGCGCTGTGTGGCCCTTGCATTCCAAATGACTGAGCGAGTAGAGCAACGGATCTGCATCGGATTTTGCGTTAAGCTTGAACATTCCCCCGTAAAACTCTTTGGATGATTCAGAAGGCCACAGCTGTGGGCAACGGGTGATTGGCAGCTTCGTCACGACAATGCATCATGTCTCACAGAGCTTTTTGGCAAATCATCAAATCACCCAGGTGACTCAGCTCCTGTGCAGACCAGATTTGGTGCCCCGAGACTTCTGGCTTTTCCCAAAACTAAAATCACCTTTGAAAGGGAAGAGGTTTCAGATCATTGATGAGATTCAGGAAAATATGACAGGACAGCTGATGGCAATTGAGAGAACAGTGTGAGGTCCCAAGGTGCCTACTTTGAAGGAGACAGAAGCGTCATTGTCCTATGTACAATCTTTATCGTATCTTCTTCAAAAAATGTCTCTATTTTTCATATTACATGACTGGATACCTTCTGGACAGACCTCGTAAATACATATAACACGCGTACTAATTAAAGAGGAAAAATAAATATCCATGTACCTTCCACCAGCTTAAAAAAATACACATTGTCAATATCTTTCAAACTCCTTCACAGTTGTATTCCCACATCCTTTGCTCTCCGGGTTTAATTCTATATTTAACATTTTCTTGCTTTTCCTTATGGTGTTGCCATATGTATTTACATGTCTAAACAGTTTGTTTCTTCTCGCATGGCTTTGACCTTGGCACTCAGCGTGATGTTTGTGAGCATGCGTGCAGCCTGGGTTTACTCAGTTCTGCTTCTCCGCGGCACCGCGTCGTGGGACTAGGCCACACTCCGCTGTTCGGCTGCTGATGGGCGTTTGGTGGTTTCTTGTTGTTTGCTACTCCAGGCAGTGCTACCGTGGCCATTCTTTTTTTTTTTTTTTTGAAGATTTTGTTTCTTTCTTTCTGGAGAGAGGGGAAGGGAGGGAGAAGGAGAGGGAGAAAAACATTGATGTGCGAGAGAAACATTGATCCGTTGTCCCTCACATGCCCCTGCTGGGGACCTGGCCCACAACCCAGGCATATGCCCTGACTGGGAGTCGAACAGGTGACCTTTCAGTTCAAAGGCCAGCACTGAATCCACTGAGCCACACCAGCCAGGGCTACCTCAACCATTCTTGCTGCTGTCGGCTGAGGAGCTCACCCAAGGGTGCTGGACACTCGGACCTAGGAGCGAAACCACCGAGCCATGAGGTCATCACTACATATTTAGCTTTATGAGATAATACCAAAGTGTTTCCTAACCAGGTTTCTCCAACTTCTACTCTCCTGGTGGCAGGTGACAAGTCCCCTTGCTCTACACACCCTAACCAAACGACATGGCATCATCCGATTAAAAACGTCTACCTGCCTGCTGGGTGAGAATGGGCCCTCCCTGTTGTTTGAATTTGCATTTTTTATTTAGTACTCAAAGCGTGATGGGCGGGAGGTGGTTGATTGTAGCACTACAGTCTGTGTCCCCAGAGGTAGCCAGATTGTGGGAAGTGCCCCAACTCCCTTCGGGATGGGGAAGGACAGCAGGCAGGAGAGGAAGGCGGTGGCCGCCGAATGGTGTGGCCTCCTGCAGAGCCACATCCGGACGGAGGCAGTCCATCCTGTCCTTCTTCCCAAGGTGTCACCCACCAGCCTCTCAGGGCTGTCTGAGCCCATGCCTTTCACTGGAATGAGGTCACTGGAATTCCTGGAACCCGAGGAGTGACCGCATGGGTTTGTGGGGCAAGAACACCAGCTTCGCCCGTGAGAAATGACAGTGCCTCACTCGCCCAGACTGTCTGGAAGGAAGAAAATTCCGAACAGTCCAACCCAACTTCACATTTTTCATGTGAACCAAAGTGGGAGGAATCTTTAGCCAGAGGCTTTTGGGGTGGGGCAGGAGAGATCATATTTTCACTTATCACCATGGGATCCCAAGCCAGCTTCGCTGCTGGAGGCCCAGGCCCCTTGCGGCTTTTCTTCCTGAATCGACGCAGTGCAGAGAAGAATGGAAATTTCCACTCGGTTTTCCACTTCCACCTGCGGGACCTTGGGCAGGTGACCTCACCTCTCTGAGCATCGGTTGGCTCTTTGTCAGTAGGGGGCCGTGTTGCCCACTTCCCAGCTCCGGTGAGTCTGAGCTCCAAGGCCAGCCCAGTGCCCAGAACATCCCAACAGCCCCAGTGAGAAGGATTCTAACAATATTCTTCAAACTTTGGGAATATGTTGGAGAAGGTGCCTTAAGACTGGTTTCCTCAAATTGAGACTATTTTCCCTCCTCCAGGCAGATTTTTTTTAAGACGAAGCACCCACAATTTGGGGGAGTGGGAGGAAAGCTACCACATTACAGCTGTAGCTTCTTAATGTTTAAAAATAAATCAACAGACACAGGCAGAACCTTCCCTACAGAGCCCTGAGCCGAGCCGTGGGGAAGGGGAGTGGGATGGCAATGATTCCTGGCACCTCCTGGTACCCGTGGGTGCCAAAGGTTGGCCTTGTGGGAAGCCTCGGAAACTTCACAGCAGCCCTGGCAGCAGGCAGGGCGGCCACTGTTTGGGGGAAGCAATCTGAGACCCCGAAAGAGTAAAGGACTTTCCCAAGGTCATACAGGAAGGCTGCGAGGGAACAGGACCTAGAGCCCAGATTGCCCAGTGGTCCAAGATCAGCTCTGCCCTGGGCCTTGCTGCCTCCCAGCCCTGGCCCCAGCCGCCTCCTGGGCCTTGCCGTCTCCAGTCTCTGCACTCCTGCCCGCTGGTCTCTCTGCCCCTCTCTGACTGCCTTGCACTTTCTGACCCTCCAGGCCTTTGCTGTTGCCTTCTCAGCCACCGGGAATGCCATCTGTCTCAACCTGGACTAATGAAACCCTTGTCCTCAACGTAGCCAACCTGTGGAACAATGTGTAGCCCTTAAGAATGATGTTGTTGGGGTGATTTACAGAACATTGTTCCAAGTTATTAAGTTGAAAAATATGCAAACTACCAGACAAATCTATACGTAAGTGCAATGATCCCCCCCTTTTTTTTCGCTATAGTGCTCTCCCTTTTCTTTTTTTTAAATTTATTTTTATTTGTGTATGAGGGGAAGGGAAGGAGAGAGGAAGAGAAATATCAGTGTATGATTGCCTCTTGTGCACCCTCTGCTGGGAACCGGTCTGCAGCCCAGGCATGTGCCCTGACTGGGACTCGAGCCGCAATCCTCCGGTTCGCAGGCCTGGGCTTAATCCACGGAGCTACACCAGCCAGGGCGCAATGATCCCATTTTTAAGTACATATACATATTCTGCCTTGCCAGCTCCATTTCAGGGTCCAACATGTCTTCTCTAGGCTGTGGATGTGTCCAGGGCAGAACCTGTTTGCTAAGTTGAGCTGGAAGAAAGGAAATGAATTATAGGGTTTCCTGGTGCAGCTGTAGCATTCCACACAAGGCGGGGAGAGGCTCCATGGGAGTGTGGATGGGGCTCAGAGGTCTTGGCATTCCTCTCACTAACCCCGTGCCCCCAGGGGCTGCCTGCCAGGCCCCACGGACTTCAGCTGGGGTCATGCCGGGAATGGGCCTGCGCTGACTACTCTCTGGCTTGCCTCACTCTGGTCAGCAATACCAAGGTCCTCAAGACCCGGCAACCTGCCCAAGTGCGAAATACGGAAACCCAGGTTCAAGACCAGAGGGGAAAAGAAAATGAGTCTTCAAGATTTGCTTGGGACTACATTTGCTGGTTCTATTTGGAAGGCTGAATGTATTTTCTGAATTTGAACTTTCACTATGAAAAATGTTTAGGGATTTCATTTATTGGCTTAACAAGAAGGTATTTTGGGGGGTGGTGGTGAAAAGTCAAGCATGCTTACTCTAGGAAGTTTGGAGAAGTCACATGAAAAGAAGGAAAGTCACTTCCTGACCAATTTCAAGAGGAACTATTGTAACAACTTGGTATCTTTCCTAGCTTTTTTTTTCTGTGCAGTTATTTTGTTTAGTTTCCGTTGAATAAATAGAAGGATTTCTGATTCACAATTTACAGAGCTGATTTCCTGTACTTGTAACAAGGCCGCTGTGATATTTTGCGCCCCCTGGGAGTTGCGGGGGTGGGGCGCATTGCCCTCCCCTGTGTTCTCCTGACACTTCTGAGAATGCCAGCACTAAGCAGTATCTGTTCATCTTAAAATTAATCTGAAGCGTCTAAACTGTCCTGCTAGAACTTAACTCTTTACTTTGTTTCTTTTAAAAACTCTAGAGCTCAGAATACGTGCCTTCCTGGATGAGCTGGCCTTGATCTGTTTGTTTTGCCTTCCCCCAGCTCTCCCATTCTTTGAGTATTGGTAACTGGAATGTTTTTGTCTGTTCAGGCTCAAAACGGTCAGGGGGACAGGAGCCAAAGTTGAGTGCCTCATGATGTGTCAAGATGAACGAGGGAAAACTGCAAGCTGTTGACTGGACTTTCTCTCTGACTCAGCTGGGCATTTCCTTTTGTCTCCAGTTTTAAAAGCTCCCCAGAGCCCCCACCTGAAATCCCCAGTCGTCTCAGAGGAGGATGGGGGAAATTCTGAAGTTTTTGTTAAACACATGTACCTCATAAGCTTTGGAAAAAGCCAGAATGCCCGAGGCATTGCCCACACTGGTAAATGTCTGACACATTCAGCATGTGTCCATTGGGCTTGACCATTTGCTGGGCAGAGTTCCAGAACAGTGAGACATCCTGGGATTCATCCGGTGTAGGAAAGACCTTGAACCACCCGCTGGTAGTGACCTTAGTGCTCAATGGGGCCTCTTTGCTGTGGTCTGCTCTGAGCAATGGGCCCTCCCGTGCGACACAGGATGCCCTTGTTCTGTGGGCAAGACAACTGTGAAAGAGGAAGCCGTGCGTGTCAGGGCTGGTGGGAGAAGACAGCCACCTAGAATGTCCCCACGAAACCACTCAGTGGAAGGCCTTCTCCAGGAGGCCTCCAACAGGTCTCTCAATGCTACAGAAACCCCAGAAGTGTGGGACCCGGGGACACTCCAGGCCCTCCGGATTTCTCTCGTGGTGCTTCTTTCCATCATCACACTGGCCACAGTCCTTTCCAACGCCTTCGTGCTGACCACCATCTTCCTCACCAGGAAGCTCCACACCCCAGCCAACTATCTCATTGGCTCCCTGGCCGTGACTGACCTCCTAGTTTCCGTCTTGGTCATGCCCATCAGCATCGCGTACACCACCACCCGCACCTGGAGCTTCGGCCAAGTCCTGTGTGACATCTGGCTGTCTTCCGACATCACGTGCTGCACGGCCTCCATCCTGCATCTCTGTGTCATCGCTCTGGACAGGTACTGGGCCATCACCGATGCCCTGGAGTACAGCAAGCGCCGGACGGCCCGCCACGCAGCGGCCATGATCGCCGTGGTCTGGGCCATCTCCGTCTGCATCTCCATCCCGCCGCTCTTCTGGCGGCAGGCCAAAGCTCGCGAAGAGATGTCGGACTGCCTGGTGAACACGTCCCAGATCTCCTACACCATCTACTCCACCTGCGGGGCCTTCTACATCCCGTCCGTGCTGCTCGTCATCCTCTACGGCCGCATCTACCTGGCCGCTCGGAAGCGCATCCAGAACCCGCCGTCCCTCCATGGGAAGCGCTTCACCACCGCCCAGCTCATCACGGGCTCGGCGCGCCCCTCGCTCTGCGCGCTCAGCCCCGGCCTGCACGACGCCCACGGCCACTGGGCCGGCTCCGCTCTCTTCTTCAACCACGTGAAAGTCAAGCTGGCGGACAGCGTCCTGGAGCGCAAGAGGCTTTCCGCGGCCCGGGCACGGAGGGCCACTCGGACACTGGGGGTCATCCTGGGGGCCTTTCTGGTCTGCTGGCTGCCCTTCTTCGTGGCATCCTTGGTCCTCCCCATCTGCCGGGACGCGTGCTGGATCCACCCGGCCCTTTTCGACTTCTTCACCTGGCTTGGCTACTTGAACTCCCTCATCAATCCAATCATCTACACTGTGTTTAACAAAGAGTTTCGGCAAGCGTTTCAGAAAGTGGTCCGTTTCCGGAAAGCCTCTTAGTCTTGTTCGGTGGTGGCTCTTGTTGTCTTTCGTGTCCTGTGGCCCCGTCCGAATGGTCTTTTTCTGTTTTTCCAGGGATTTAGGTTCATCCTAGTCTTTTGGGTCCGGGCTCAATCCATAGATTTGTCCCGTGATCCCTTTTTTCTTTTGTCTGCTTGTTTCTGAGCCACCGAAGTCCGGGACTCCATGTGAAGGGGACAGAGACGGTTCGTTTCCCTTCGCGTATCTTCAGGATTCACCTGTCTGGGAAGAAACAGGACCCACAAGTTACCCATTGATGCACTTCTGGTGGAAAATGGACTGTGGGAAGACCCATCGGTCAGGGGCTTTCTGGTCTACCTAAGTGTTGTGTGGAACTCAGAGCTGGGTGGATGAGCTGGACGACTTGAATGGAAGGAGAATTGGGAGTCAGGATGGAGGCGTCTCCATTCCGTGCAGCACCTTAGTTGGAAAATAACACCCAGGGATTTCTTCCTGTGATTTCTCATTAGGTTGAATCTCCCAGTGGTTCATGCGTGGTGAGAACAGTGTGGAGTGGCAGGGGTCAGAAGCTGGGAGCAGGGGAGTGGAGTGTCTGGAACCCCATCAGCCACCCTGTGCCCCTCCCTCTCCGGTATCTCCGCACCCTGTGCCTGATGTTCTGAAGCTACAACGCACCGTCACTCCCCACTGAGGGAGGATGACGGCTGTGTACCCACCAAGCTTTGAGTGGACACCATTCTGAATTTTTTCCTGAATTTTCACATCCAGTTCTCATGAGAGATCTTAAGACGTGAGTCTTGTCAAATAAAAAGCATGAGACCTCATGATCAGCAAAGTCTTTGAGTAATTTTTCTTCCTCCACCTGGACGTAGAAATCTTTCCTTTTGCTTTTGTCTCCAGCGTTTATTGAGCACCTACTACATGCTCGGCCCTCGGCCAGAGCCCTGGCATTTGTCATCGCATGGAAGCTCATGACAGTGAGAGTCGGTGTAAGCCGATGAGTAGAGCCAGGGACCTGGTGCCTCAGTCCACATTGAAGGACTGACTACCAGTTCCTCACTGGGTCAATGCCTTGGACAGGTTTATTAGTCCCTCTTTGCCTCACTTTCCTCAACTGTAAAATGGCAACAATAGTAGGAGTGTCACTATATATTTTCATACAGCGCTTGGCACAAGAGCTCTTACCATTCTAGAGGTGCAGAAACTGGTGTGCCCCAGGTCAGGTGATGTAGAAGGAAGAGCTACTATTTACTGAGGGCCTGCAGTGCTCTTGACTGCATCTTCTCATTTACACCTCTTCCTCATTTCACAGGTGTGGGCGGACACTCGCCTTTAGTTAGGGAAGCTTTCCTAAAGAGATGAGCCTTCAGCAGACCCCCAAGAGATGAGCCCTTGTGGGATGGGAGGCTAAGGAAGGGGAGAGGCGATGAGACCTCTTTCGGGCCAGGGCAAAGGAGGATGGGAAAGATGGCATCGGGTGGAGAGAAGAGCAGGAACAGAGCCCAGGAGGCCTGCAATGCTCCCTGGGGTCTCTGGGCCCAGGGAGGAGGGGAGGCAGGAATATGGGATATCAAGGAGGAGTAGGGAAAAGAAGGATGCCAAGATCAGCGGGGGGACACGCGGAAGGGTCTTGGGCTGACTTTGAAGTTTCTGCAGGACATCTCACGGTGTGGGCCCTGGACCATCTGCATTAGACTCTCCCAGGGAGTTTGTTAACACTGGATTTCTCGTCCCTAACTGAGAGCCACTAAGACAGACTCTCTGGGAGTGGGGCCCAGGAATCTGCATTTAACACCAGCCTTGCTCCTGTGTCCTGCATTAAGTGACTTCTCTGCCTCGAAACTTTGGGAAGCACTGTGTTCGTGTCTTGCTCCCCCTGTGAGGCCCCTCCCCGCACCCAGAACCATTGCTCAGCATCTCACTGCTCTCCTCCACACCCAGCATGCTCTTTCCGGGAAAGATCAGTAATTGAGAGGCTGGACAGGGAGCCACATTCAGTGTGTCTCAGCAGTTAAGGACATAGGCCTTGAAGTCAAACACCTGGAGCTAGATCCCAGGTGTGCCATCTATCAGCTGTGTGGCCTGAGGTAAGTCACCTAACCTCTCTGTGCTCCAGTTTCTTCATCTTTTCTTACAAATATATTTTATTGATTAAGCTATTACAGTTCTCCCAATTTCTCCCTCTTTATCCCGCCTCTGCCCTGCAGCCTCAACCCTCCAGCATTCCCCCCCTTAGTTCATGACCATTGGTTATACATATAAGTTTTTCGAGTTCTCTGTTTCCTATACCTCTCCCTGTCTATTTTATGCCTTCCAATTATGCTTCTTTTTCCCTGTACCTTTCTACCCATTCCTCCCTTCTGCCTCCTCACTGAAATCTCTCCATGTGACGTCCATTGCTCTGATTCTAGTTGTTTGCTTAGGTTTTCTTTTTGTTGTTTGTATTTTCTTTTAGGTTCATTTGTTGATAGTTGTGAGTTTGTTGTCATTTTACTGTTCATATTTTCGATCTTCTTTTTCTTAGATAAGTCTCTTATCTAAGAAATTTCTTATCTAAGTCTCTTAGATAAGAGACATATAATTTCATTATATGAAATTAACATTTTATATAATAAGGGCTTGGTGATGATGAACTTCTTTAACTTGACCTTATCTGGGAAGCACTTTATCTGCCCTTCCATTCTAAATGAAAGCTTTGCTGGATAGAGTCATCTTGGATGTAGGTCCTTGCATATCATGAGTTCAAATACTTCTTCCCAGCCCCTTCTTGCCTGCAAGGTTTCCTTTGAGAAATCAGCTGACAGTCTTATGGGAACTTTTTTGTAGGTAACTGTCTCCTTTTCTCTTGCTGCTTTTAGGATTCTCTCTTTATCTTTAATCTTGGGTAACTTAATGATGACTCACTTTGGTGTGTTCCTCTTGGGGTCCAACTTCTTTGGGACTCTGTGGCTTCCTGGACTTCCTGGAAGTCTATTTCCTTCACCAGATTGGGGAAGTTTTCCTTTATTATTTGTTCCAATAAGTTTTCCATTTGTTTCTCTTCCCCTTCCCCTTCTGGTACCCCTATAATTTGGACATTAGAATGTTTAAAGATGTCCCGGGGGTTCCTAAGCCTCTCCTCATTTCTTTGAATTCTTATTTCTTCATTCTGTTCTGGCCAAATGTTTATTTCTTCCTTCTGCTCCAAAGCATGGATTTAAGTCCTGGTTTCCTTCCTGTCCCTGTTGGTTCCCTGAATATTTCGCTTTATTTCATTTTGGGTATCTTTCATTTGTTTTTTCATTTTTTTGACCAAGCTCAATCAGTTCTGTGAGCATTTTGGTTACCAGGACCTTAAATTCTCCAACAGATACATTGGCTATCGCCTCATTGCTTAGTTCTCTTTCTGAAGCTTTGCTCTGCTCTTTCATTTGAGCCCTATTTCTTTGTCTTGGCTCACTGGTCTGGTTGTTCTGGTTGACTGTTTTTTTGGTTCCTTGGTTGTCAGAGCTCCACGGAGTCTGATGTTCTGGCACTTCTGGTTGTTTATTGATTTTAGATCATCTGTTATCCTCCTTTTGGTTGTGCGAGGAAGCAAAGGGTTCCTACCTACGCCTCCATCTCGGCCGGAACTCCAGTATCTTCGTCTCTTAAATGGGGTTGTCTGTACCTAAGCCAATAGCTGTTTGTGAGGATTAAATGAGGCAACGATTGTAAAATGCTTCACACAGTGCCCGGCACATAAGTGTTCAGTAAAATGCCATCTGTTACTGTCTGAGAGCTCTGAGCCAATTACAAAAGAAACTCAAATGCCTCCTTTTCAGGGGACTTCCCTGATTAGAGCAAAGGTTGGTAAACCTTTTAAAAACAGATTTATTGATGTGCAATTCACACGCTCTACAGTTCACCCATTGAAAGTGGACGATTCAACGCCTTTCAGTGCCCTCAGAGAGCCATGCTCCTCACCACGGACAACTTCCATCGCTCCAGAGAGAAGCCCCGCACCCGCAGCCACCGTTCCCCGCCTCCCTTGCCCAGACGCTCACTCATCTGTTCTGTCTCTGGACTTGCCTATTCTGGGTATTTGGTACAAGTGGAGCCTTGCAGTATGTGGTCCTTTGTGTCTGGCTTCTCTCATTTAGCGTGATGTTCTCACAGTTCATCCTTGTCGTAGCACATTTCACTATTACGTTCCTTTTTATTGCCGGATAATACCCTGTTGCATGACTGCATCGCGCCTCATCTATTCACTGATCCACTGATGGACATGCGGGTTCTCGCCACTTTTCGGCCATTGTGAGGAATGCTGCCATGAACACTCTCGTACAAGCTTTTTCATGAACATCTGTTTTCATTTCTCTTAGGGACGTACTCAGGAATGGACTTGCTGGGTCGCATGTAGTCTGTGTTTACCCTTTTGAGGAGTAGCCAGACTCTTTTCCGAGGTGACGGCGCTGTTTTTCGTTTCCATTCCAATTTGTCCACGTCTTCGCCAGTACTCATTGTCGTCTTTCTGACTATAGTCACTCTAGTGGGTGTGAAATAGCATCTCACTGTGACAGCAAACTTTCGTTTAAGGGCCAGACAGTAAATAGTGTCAGGTTTACAGGTCATATGATCTCCATTGTAACCACTCAACTCTGCCGTTGTGAAAGCGTGAAAGCAGCCGCAGGCAATACATAAATAAACGAGCTTGGCTGTATTCCGGCAAAATTTTGTTGACTAAACTAGATGGCAGCCTGCAGGCTGGAAAGTGCAGAGGCCTCTGATCTGGAAGAGCGCCCCTCCCCCACACTATTTACCTAGCCTTTCTCTATCCCTTCCCTGGCTTTATTTATTTTTTTATTATACATATTACTGGTAATGATATAGATGTATCAATTCTTGCTTTTTGTCTGTCTGCCACTTCTAGAGGGGAAAGCGGGGATCTTATTTGTTAAGGTCGCTGTTTGCTCCCCAGCACATCAGTGTCTGGCATATAGTAGATGCTCAATAAGTATTTGTTGGGGTGACTGACTGAACAGAACACCATGTCCAGGTTTACATATGACTCATTCTCCATGTCTTTGTCTTTAACGTTTTAAGATAAACTGGCTCTGGGGCTAGAATCTCAGAAATCATGAGGTTTGGCGGCAGGTGGGCCCAAAATCAGAGTCAGGGCAGTTCTGTCCTAACTGTAGTGTAGGCAAGACTGATACAGGTTGCAGCCAAGAGGGGGACCCCAAAAATGGATTTGGAATGGGGTCCAGAACTCAAGGTGTCTAGGAATTATTGGAGAGACATATAGGATGTCCTCACCCCTTCCCCCACAGGTGTGAGTTGGGGGAAAGGACACATGGAGCAGGAACATGCGGGGCTGTTTTGTACAGCCACAGCGTCGCAGCTAATCCATGGCATGGTCATTTAACATATCTATAGCATTTGGAGGGTCACTTGGATATGTTAAATGGCTGTGGCCAGGCTTGGAACCAGGGGGATGGAAGTCACTTCCCCCCAGGATGTAACTGGGGGGCAGGTCCTCCGAGTTATAGCACCTGCATGGAAGCTTGGAGAAGATTGGCTCCAGGACATGGGACCACACCTGCCCAGACTCATAGTGGCAGCCTAGTAAACTTGTAATAATACAGGAATGCTGGCAGGTGTAACTGATTGTGGGAGGAGTTGGAAATGGGGGTACAGAGGAAGATTGGCTTGAGGATTTAAACCCAGACACAGCAGCCACTGAAGGGAGAACCACGTGGCTTTGC